TAAATGTTAGCTGCTGTTATCTGGAAAGCTTTCCCTCAGTCTGAGAGAGGTAAATTTGTATACCCTAACTATAGTTGGAATACAAATTAATAGAAATTGAAGCATATTCTGCATAGGCAATATCTATTTGTAATGCCCAATATTGCATTTAAGAGTAGTTGTAATAAGAAAATGTAGTCTGAATAGAATACTGAAGAGAGTAAATGTTAGCTGCTGTTATCTGGAAAGCTTTCCCTCAGTCTGAGAGAGGTAAATTTGTATACCCTAACTATAGTTGGAATACAAATTAATAGAAATTGAAGCATATTCTGCATAGGCAATATCTATTTGTAATGCCCAATATTGCATTTAAGAGTAGTTGTAATAAGAAAATGTAGTCTGAATAGAATACTGAAGAGAGCTCTGATTAATTGACATGTAACATATCACTTTGCTTAATTGTGGCAAGTTTCCCATTAAGAAACAATAAGAAATGGAACCTGGAAATGAAGTTCTTCTGGCTCTTTTAACTTAAAACATTCTAGTAAGTACCTTTTCCAGTGAAATGAAACTTTTTATACATATGGCCACTTGTTAAGTTTTCAAAAATATATCCTTTTATGCCAACAGAAAACAAGGGGTTGTATGTGAATGTGTTTCTGGATAGATCCTAGCATCTCCATAGTTAGTGTTGCATTTAAATTTCTAATTAAAGTGGGATTAAAATCCATCTTTAGCAATTCACTTTGTTAAATGTGAGGGCTAAATTCACTTGTGCGGGGGCCACGTGAATTTAATTATTCAGTTACTTTTCTAGTCAGATGGACACTTAAAAACTAGCCCTCTCTAAAACAGTGTTTAAAGGGTCTTCTTGGCACATGTGCTCTCTAGTGTTCTAGGCATCAGGGGAGGGAGGAGTTCAACAAGAATAGTAGGCATAGAGGACACCCCCACTGGTGCCACTGTGAACAGACTTTGTCCATAGCCTTATTAAATACACGCTCTGGCATCACTGCTTTCACTCCCCTTCAGTCTCTCAGCATTCAGGGCAGGAGCACCTTGGAGAAGTAAACACATAGGATTGGCTGCTGGTAGGTGGAGAATGGGATGGATATAGCTGGGACCATGAGGCCTGGGGATCAGAGGAAGTGAGAGGAGAGGCACATGCCCTGTAATCTCTGTGCACATACTAAATTGCTTTAAATCAACATACCCACAACCGTGATTCCAGCTGTATGCTTTCACTTATGCACCTGCAGATTTGTGCATTATTTGTGTGAGTACATCTTCAGAGAACATTGATCCATCTGTGGTTGGAGTTAAGATTAAGCACTGTGTGTTTGTAAAGAAATTTGGTATGCATTGGCCATATGTTGCATCTAATGATCCCATTAACCAAGTGCACTTTCTGGATTTTTTAATGACTCTGTTTTGTGGGGTTTACACGGTAAACATTTTTCTAACATGGGGAATTGATTATAGCTGCAAAAATTTTCATGTATGTAGAGCACCATCTGTTGGAAGTTAATACAATTAAAATCTGAAGTTCAAAAAAAAAAATCTAACTTTCATAGGAAAATTTTGAGGAATCTCATTTTGATGCATTTGCTTACTCATGTGACTGACTCATGGAGGTATTAGTATGTTGTTGACAGTATAGTCTTACAATTTCATTTGTTTTATTGCCCTTCATTCTGAGGGTTTCAAGAATATTTTACTGGTGATAAATTAAGTTAGTGAATGGCATTATACACTAATAAATATTTGAATAGTATATCTTGAATAAATTGCAAAAGTACAGTTCCTGCTGTTAATATTTTAGAGTCTGAGTCCCTTGTGCTGCAGTTGACTGTGTATGGGAGCATATTTGCATCGGTATGCCTCAAATTGCAGGATTGGGGCCAAATTCGATAAATACTGAACATAAGAATAACAAAGGGAATAGCAAAAGCATTTACATAGGGGTCTTTTAGATAGCAGTTGTA